ACAATATGACTAATATTTAGTTTGGTGGGAAGATTATTAGGTTTCCCATTTCTCATTTTGCAGAGACCACCTTCTTTGTAACTGTCTATGTGCAGTAGTTTTTTTGCTGGAGTTATATCATTTATGCATTCATTGTTTATTATTCCATCTTCTATCTTGGCATAGGTCTCAATGTTCAAGAAGAACTATGATCATCTTCCCAAGGATGTGTATTTTGGCAATTATAAGGAGGCAACCCGTGGTAATCCAAACTACTTTCTGACCTATGGAAATGGGAAATCAGCTGCTCATGTTCAAGATCATCTTTGTCCTAATGGTGCACATAGATGGCATACTACCTGAAGACTCCAAAGTATGGTATTTTCCTGTTCTATTGATTTAGTGTGAATGAATTGACCTAGTTAAATGTATTATTATTATAATAATAATAATTATTATTATTATTATTAAGTGCAAACCTTGTCAAGTGCTTGCACAAAAAAGATTAGATAATAATCATAATATGGTCCATGCACAATTTCTTGTTGAAGATTGAAGTTAAAAAGTTTTGAGCTTTCTTTGATGATGACTTTTAGTTAAATAGTTTGATAATTCTTCATCTTTGGAACATGTTAAACAATAAATAAATCTAATTCTTTATTTCCTATTGACAAAACCATAAATTTCAAGCTTATTACATTCAATTCAGAGAATTTTCTTTGTTTTATGTATATTATTAATTATCTTTTAAAAATTAGTGCCTTATTTCACTTGGGTGGACACTTTTTTTGCACCTTGTGCCTCATGTGACGCAAGGGTTGTAGCACCTAGAGGGGGCCATTACACCTTTGACAACATTGATATGTACTTTTGTATTATAGGTTGTTAATGACTGTCAAACACGAGTAATCTGTACTTTAATCTGGAGTTCTTATATGTTATGTTCCTTTTTTGTTAAACCTATTTATGAGGCATATACTTTATGGTTGAAGAGCACAACTTCTTTCTTTTCATATTTATTGGTATATAACTACCTTGATCCTGTGTAACATTTCATAGTGAGATCAAATTGGATGAGGCTGCTGTTCTGCATTATACATACCCCAAATTTTCTGATCTCACTTCAAGGCTTGATCGATGTGGCTGCAGGCCTACAAAGGAGGATGTTAAAAGATGTTTCATGTTAGAATTTGATAGAGCTGTGAGTTCCAATTGATGCACCATCATATTCCTTTTATCTAACTTGCGATTCAGTTTCTCTTGCCCTTGCTTTTATTTGGAGGATTTCCTGTTGTTTTGCCTTTGCGTTATCCATCTAATCTTAGATATGAGTTTGTCATTTTTCCTGACTTTTTTTTTTAAATAATGTGTTCTCTAAGATAAATGGTTGTGGCATTGGGAAATTGAATCATGGCTTACCTATCCTTTGCAAACTTGAGTATTACTTATAATATTTTCAAGGCTAGTTGAGCAGGCATATTGCTAGTTTATGTCAAACTTTTTGTTGTATTTACTGATCTGTATGTATGTTGAACCTGATTGTATTTCTATGGTAAGTTTAGATATTAATGTATAAATGAAGTACATGTCAAAGAAAGGAACAATAAAAGAAAATTTATAATTAATAAAATTATTGTTCTTTATAATTAATAGGTAGGCTTTCCGTGATGTCAGCTTTGACAATTTTATAAGTCATAAACATAATACATGGTGTCTGATCTGTTCTTTGCATTATAATCATGTTAGTTAAGTACGCCACTGCAAGGTTGTCATCAAGTGTCATTTATGTTAATCTTGACTTATGGTTGTTTTATAGAAAGTTCATTGTTTATGTTGCATTTGACTATACTTGTAATGTTTGTACTTATTGGGGAGGGAGATAGTTGGATGATTACATGTTTACTAATGCTTGTAACATTTGGATGAAGAGAGGGGGAGCAAGCGTTTTCTTGGGTACTCTATATGGTGAATTGAGATGGACTTTAAATGATATTCCTAATATTTGGGCTTAATTTGCTTATAGTTATTTCATGTTTTATTTCATACAGGCATTCATGATTGCTTCAACTGCAACAGAGGAGGAAATGCTCCACTGGTAATGCTTATATTAACATTTTAAGTGCCCTCTATTTTCTTGTTTTTCATTTCAAATATAAAACAAATAGAGTTTCTGGTGTTAAATGTTACGAGAGAGGGTTTCTTGTTTTTTACCTTAAAAGGTTGCTTTGTGAGGCGCTACTCTGAATGGCACTTCCAGGTGGAAGGAATGGGTCTTGGAATGTTGGTTCCTTGAAATCCTCTTATTATCTTAGCCAGACATTTTGATGATATGTTTAGATAAAAACGAATGTCTGCTCCAGTGTTTTCTTGTAGGATTATTCATACACGAGGTTGTCTTTACATGTGCCAAATGCCTACACTTACAGGGCTTACTATAGTCAATAATCTCTTTGCAAATTGTTAACTGTTGAAGAATTGTTTATGATGACCTACTCCTTACTTTCCCAAAGTGGACAAAATTGTTTCTCACCCATCAATTTATTTTATGGTGGTGTGGAATCTGAGTTTATATTTGTCTTCTCAAATAATATTGTTCTTCTGACTTAGGTACCGTGAGCGTGTGGTGTGGGCAGATAAAACATTAAACTTGAAACTTTTGTGGAAGGGCATCTTAACTCAGATTTATGCTCCCATTGTGAGTAAAACCACTGCACATTTTTATCTGAAGCCTGCCTATTTGTTTTGCTGACCCTCGTTATGGAATATTTTATGGATGAGCATGTATGGCTGAAGTGTTAGATTCCTCAAGTCGTCCACTTTTTTCTGTTAACAGGCTATAATTCATGGACTTAGGGAATCTCGTGTTTTCATTTCTGTTGTACGATCAGCACTGACAACTCTCTCAAAGGACAAGTTTTTGTCTTCAGTTGAGAGTGGCAACTCCTCTAGAGTAGATAAACCAGGAATAGTTTCTTCCAGAAAGATTGGTGTCGAAGAATCTCAGGCAACTGCCAGAAGGATCTTGGAGATCACGGATAATTTTTCTTACAATTTGGCAATCCCATCACTTTCTCCTCCAGTCCTGGATGATTTCCACATTGGAATATAATGAAATTAAATTCACAGTGATTACTGCTGCTTCATTGTACCTGCAAAGAGGGTTAAGTAGACAGGCAAGTTGGTTTGCTGGTTCTGATGAGGCATTTCAGTGTTCGATTTCGTGGGGCCATTCCCGATCATTACCCAAGCGCTGCTGTACATTTCAGGTTTAGATTAAAGTAGATGATAAGAGTGAGAGGCGTAGAGCGGAATTTTGACTACAGATCGATGATTGTTGCATCTTTGATATATTTTTTTGAATGACGCTGGAGGCTGTAATATGAACTAGTTGGTCAAGAGGGTCAGTCAATACCAAACCTGTTCATCAAGAGATACAGTCAACAATGAAATAGTTTTGTAAGGAAAAAAAACCAGAGAAGGTTATTTTCATCTAAAAACCCAGAGAAGGTTATTTTCATCTCTCCTTGATTTTTCGTCTTTCTATTAAATTTTAATTCTTTGCGAATAAAACAACGAAAGAAAAATAAAAACATAAACATAATAATTTGAAATAAGATCATAAAACAACAAATTTCTTATGCAAGCAAAGGAAAAATAAAATCACGATCATTAATACAATTAAATGCGTTCACTGATTGATCCTTCCCATACATGGAGATGCATTTGACAGGGAATTGCTATCCTAAACCTTGCTTGAGATGACCAGTGGGAAATGAGAAAAGAATTAGGTTTTGGCATGATAAGTGGACCTTATAAGTGTGCAACTTTAGTCTCACTCTTCAAACAGACCACATACTAGGCAATGGAATGATGAAGGATTTGTTCCAGGTAAATATGATACAATGTAACGATGAAAAGCTGGATAGTATGTTCCACAAGAATACGGCAAAAGAGATTAGAATTAATGGGTCAACAGGATGGTTTGGTTTGGCACTACACCAAGAGTAGATATTATAAACTGGTCTCGAATAAAATGAATACAGGCCAAGAGAAGAGGATAATGGAGGCACGGGCAATAGTGGAATGAATATGTTCTTGAAGCCGATCTAGTTATTGTCAATTCCTATCAAGATTAGAATATTTCTATGAAGGATGTAGAATGATAACTTACCACTCCATGGAACGTTATAAAAAAAATTATAGAAAATGCACGATGTCTGATATGCAACGAGGAAAATGAGACAACGATGCATGTTACAAGGAAAAATTGTATACGCGCGAAGAAAAGCTGAAGGCTTGCATACCCAAATGAAGACTAGCAGGATAGGCAGATAAGAGGTGTCAAACAATGACTAGCTTGGGTGACAAAATGAACTGAATAAGGATGAGCTAGGCAGATTTGCAACGATGTGCTGGGTATTATGGGGGCTAGGATCGACGAAGTCGAGAGTAATATAATCAAAACAGCCCAGGCCACAATGACGTTTGTACACCAACTCTTGCTAAAGTACAACAGAGCTCAAGAAAGGCAGAGAAAATCACAAATGGAAATATGGTTGAAAGTTAATTTTGATGGGACCTCGAAAGAAAGGAGAATAGAGCAGGAATTGAGCTGCTACGAGAAACTGGGCAAGGTGAGAGGAGCTTTTCTGTACGAGCGTCAATGACATCAGAGATCAAATTTTATTAAAAACATATATATCCATAGATTCAGTAAATCCAATTTGACTAATATTTTAATTTTTTTTTTTTTAAGATTCAATGAAATTCACTCTTGAAAGTTTGAATAGATAATTATTAAAAAATATAAAAAAAATTATTATATGTTAATATTTTAAAATTTTCGAATATATTTTAAAATTAAATTTAAATAAAATTTTTTATTTAATAAAAATAATATGACCCGGGCCGGGCTTGCATTTAAACCCCTGTCTGGGACCTGGACCGAATCGGGCTCCCTGATAGTTTGGCCATGAACGTGTTGCCATTTTATTTTATTTAAAATTAAAAAGAAAAACGAGGTGAGCGAATCTTGGGAAAGATCCAGATAGTCTGGTTGGAGAGTCACCCGTGGCTTCCACTGTGTATTAATAGGAGCAAGCAAGCACTTAGTATGGCTGTTTAACTGCTAACCTGCGCTTCCTCCCACTTAACCTATGCCACGCCTCCCTCCCTCTGGCATTAGGTTCCATAGATGAACCAAGCATTGCAACTTGGTTTTAGAACTTTCATCAATCTTTCAAGGTTTTCTTTTCTATTTCTTTCTCAAATTAATTTTTCCTTTGTTTTGTTTTTTTTCTTACTGAAATTTAAACTGACTGAATAAGGTGTAGCTTTGCGGCGGGCCCGAGGAATTTTGGAATCGGAAGGTTGGCTCCTTTAAGAGGCAAAGGAATGGGATCCAAGAGAAGAAGCTTTTCGAATTCATCCTCCGTTGCTGACCAAAACATCGATAAGAAGCTCAAAGGAGTGATAGACAACGACAACCCCATTTCTGATAAGCCTTTTCTCAAGGTTTCTTCTTTTAAATTTTTATAAATATGTTTTTCTTAGTTTTCTATTTGGGTTTTAATGAAAGTGGTGAGAAAAGCAAACTAGTAAGCATAATAAAGATAAACAAGTGAAAAGAATTAATGGGTACAACTTCTAATGCTTAATAAGATGTCATATTTTGAGTTATAAGTTATTAATTTTATGCTTTTTATGTTGATCGGAATTCGGAAGCTATATGTAAATGTGGTTAAATTGCAGGATATCATGGATGATCCAAGCAAAATCGAGGCAATGACAGTTCAACAACTCAGAACTGCATTGAGGTAAAATAACAAGTTTCAAGGGGGTAACATGTAAAAACATATAATTCCTCTGTTTAATGTTCTTGCTTTCTGCATTATGGATTGATTTCAGTGTTTATGTGTGTCACATTTAGAAAAAAGCTTTGTGCTTTGAGTGCTACATTTTTATTTTGATTGGAAAGAAGATTTTCTAAAAATGGAGCTATGTGGTGAAATAATTCATATAAACAACTCGAACTAGTTGCATTTGGTTTTCAACTCAATGTTCATTCAGTTCAAAACTCTTTTCTTCAACTTGCAAAGTATGTAATCATGACTCTTTGGTTTGAAACCTTTTGATGGGATTTTATTGAACCATGAAAGGGGTAACTTTATTGGCATTTCAGTTTATTTTAACTGTTTTTAATTGACAGGACTGCTGGTATCCCTATCAAAGGTCTTAAACGTGACCTTGTATCTGCTTTGCAGAGTTATTTGGCCAAGGAAATAGATGGTATGTAATTTTCTGTGGAAATTAAAATTTAATATTTATTTTGATATACTGCAAACCTTCATATGAAAGCTGCCAAGATTGAGCATAATGACATTAAGTTTTTTTATTAGTTAAAATAATTAGTTGCACTTCCAAGCTTCCTTTTCTCATCCCAGAAATTCCTTGCATGTGCAGGTGAAAGTTCCCTTTTAACAGATAAACAAGATCCCTTCAATTCTGATGATAGCATATCTTTGAGGGTGGAGGAAAGAGCCATAGAGGACCAAGTCCAAGATGTTAATACCACTCCTGAGGTTTGTAGGGTTCAACGGAGCACAAGGACTGTAAAACAATTGCAAATTAAAGGTGAAACTGTTGAAGTTGATGCTAAAATTGTCAGCATAGAGCAGAAGCTATCCGTCAAAACTGATCGTGCTGCAGGTACTGCTGAAAATATAGACATCTATAGCAATTGTATTCTATGCTGTTGTTCTAATTTATGGAACTATTCCATCTTTCTCTCACATATTTGCTTTAGGTTGTTCAATTAATTTGACTGCAAGGATGGACTATTGTGTTTGATTTGATCCTTGATGTGGCTAGGTAGGAAGCCTTCTCAGACAAAGAGGAAAGTATCTTCAGATCTTTATAGCAACAATGTTAGGGCTGAAAATAGAGTTACTCCTCCTGTGAATCAAAATGAACCATGGACTATTATTGCCCATAAGAAGCCTCAGAAAGGGTGGATAGCATATAATCCTAGAACCATGAGACGTCCACCTTCTATGGGGAATACAAAGGTTGTCAAGGTTCTGTCTTGGAATGTCAATGGGCTTAGAGCATTGCTGAAAGTAGAGGGATTCCCTGCCCTGGAGCTTGCCAAAAGGGAAAACTTTGATGTACTGTGTTTGCAAGAGACTAAACTGCAGGCAAGTATATGAATTTATTATTTTGTAGCTAAAAAATTTTCAATATAGTATAAGTAGCTTTTTTAGAAAGTCTTATTGTTGCATACAACTTTTTCTGCTTTAGCTTACCATGATCTCTGCATTAATTGGTAACTAGATATTTTACTATAGTTCTTGATTCACCTTTTACATCTTTAATTGCTATGTTCAAACATAGTTATAGCAATTAGCAGCAAACTTATAAAGCAGCTGCTAAGACATTATTCCTCTTGATGATGTTTTTCATTGCTAAATGTTGATATTCAGTTATGTTAAATATTGTATTCTTTCCTTTAGCTTTGGGCATTTTGTTGACATTTGATTCTATTTGGTACGTAGGGTTCATTTTCATAAACATTTTAGTCAAGTTGAATGTGACTTCTAATTTTAATTTGTTAAAAAGGGTCAGAAATGAGTAGCCTTCTAAATTAAATAGTTAAGCGTTTTTTTTTTTTTAATGACCCAATCTGTCCAGGTAATTCTCGCTTTCTTCTTTTAGGGTTCTAATGATGAGAAGTTGAGAAATTTAGATTAATTTAGTCATGGATGCACTAGCTTCCAAGAAAATTGAGAGAACATTTTATTTCTTTCTGAGAAAAAATTCAGGACATGTTAGGAGATCCCAATTTGTTGATAATATAAATAGCCATTAACATCTTTTTGCTTTGTTTTTGTTTGTTTGAAACTGCACTTGTTTGAATGTCAATTTGTGTGTCCCTGTGTGTGCGTATATTTTCTTTACATGTGTGTGCCTCTGTGCGCATGTATTTGTTTGTGTGTACATAGATATGTGAGCATTTAGACATGTTAAATTTCTTGACATATTGAATGCATGTATTAATCTTGGAGCAGGAGAAAGATGTCGAGTCAGTTAAACAGTCTCTTATAGAAGGATACGAGAATAGCTTCTGGACATGCAGCCATTCAAAACTTGGTTATTCTGGTACAGCAATAATATCTCGGGTATGCCTATTCTTTTGACGATTGGAAAGAGGCTTATCTTATGTGTGGTATGGAGAATATTTTGCACCTTTACTGTGGAAAATATGCCACCTGTCTGTCTCCCTTTCTTGTTTATACATTAGGATTAAGTGGTACTATATCAAACAAGTATTCAGTGTTTGTGGCAGTTCTTAAAGTAGCTTCAGCAGTATCTTAAATCTGTTAACTCAACTCTGTTATTTGCTGTCTTCTTAATTTTGCAATATACGCTTTAATTTTGGAAATGATTGTCTCTCACATTGAAAATTTGAAATAATGTTGATGGAATAGGCAGATTAGAACTTAAAAGATCACAATATCAAGTTTCTTGTTTCTAGCTACCCTTTAGATTCTAATGATGAAATGGGACTTGACCTGATACAGGAAACTTTGCAAAGGTGAAGAGTAATCATACTTGATTGTATCCATTTAGCAAACTTTAATCAATGGGATTCATTTCAATCTTATGATTGTACTGGTTAACTGGGATTTGGTATCAGTTTTCTTGATTCCATGTCTACTGTACATTTGTTAAGAGCTTGACCTTTTGAAATTCAAATATCAAGTACTTTTGATGTTTTGATTGCTTTGTTTTTTTATTAGTTTGATGTTAAAAAGTAGCAGTTGTCTGACAGATAAAACCACTTTCGGTCAGATATGGCCTAGGCATATCAGACCATGATAGTGAAGGACGGGTTGTGACAGCAGAGTTCGATACTTTTTATTTGTTAAGCGTCTATGTTCCTAATTCTGGGGATGGCTTGAAAAGGCTGGTAATGGGCTTAAACACCTTTTGTATGTTACTTGCCAATATTCATGAAGTTTTTCATCTTTGTCATGTGAATTTTTCAACTTTTTGATTGATGGATTTTATTTTAATCCAGACATATAGGATCACAGAATGGGATCCATCTCTTAGCAATTACATAAAGGTAAGCGTGCTTGCTTTCGCTGTTTCATTTGTGCTCTATACCGCAGAGTCTAACCACCCTCTATATCTTGCTTTCTCCTTTACACCCTTTTGACTCGATATTCACTTTAGGCATATATTGTCCTGTGAACTCATGGGATTCATTAGATATGCATCTTTGGATTAAGGAAATTGAGCAACTGAGCATTCGGCTTAGTGGTATGTGCATGCATGTATCCCCATGCTCAATGAGCTGGGTTCATATCTCCTTTCCCCCAAATTGAAAAAAAAAAGATTTAGCAAAATTGATTTCTGCTTTGACTGTCAATTGGTCATCAATGATATAGCAACACATTGGTTATTTTTGACATACTACTTGTTCATTTGGATTAGTATGAAACAAATTGTTGTATTTTTCCAATTTCGAATCTTGTTAGTCAATTATATTTTGTTCCTTTGGTATCATACCCAAGTTTTTCAGCTGTTATCCCCTCACCCTTTCCAAGCTTTATCTCTAGCTAAATGGTAATTATTTTAGCAGTATCCAGTATGCATATGCAGGGAAGGGTGATGGAATTGAAGCATTAGTGGGGCTTCTTTTTTAATATCTCTAGGTATTTTAGGTTTTTATATTATTAATTTGTTTTGCATTTTTACAGTAGTCCTTAAGTACCTATTTTAATTTCAAATTAAAGTAGCATATGCTGATGCTGAATTGTATATTACTGAGACTTTTAATTCTCTTTCACTATTCCTCTATTCTCTGTTTTCCTTCTCTGTCTAATTTCTCCCTCTTCCTTATCCTTTGCTCCCCTATTTCCCTGTGATTTCTCTCAAATCTCCATTTTCTCTATTTCCCCTATCTTTCTCCCTGCCTATTCTATTCCTCTTTCTGTTCTATATCACATAGATTTTATGGAATAGGACAGCTCCAGATTACAGTATTTTAGGTATTGTAATGCTTTTAAGGGAGCTTCTGTACATTCTTTCTTAATAGAACCAAGACCAACATTGTTCTTGCAAAAACATATTTAAAATTTACCTTTCCCTGTCTGGAGAGTTAATGCTTCAGTTGCTTGCCTTGTATAATTCAGGAACTGGAAAAGTCAAAGCCAGTCATTTTGACAGGGGATCTGAATTGTGCTCATGAAGAGATAGACATTCATGACCCTGCTGTAAGTCATTCAAGATTTTGATGTTTTTCATAGTACTCATGATTTTATTTGACTAGCCTAACCAATATAAGCAAATATATTCAAGCAAAGAATTATTATTAAGTGTTCCATATAGCAGTATTTGATTAACAAACATTACAAGTTCCTTCTGCATTAGCACTATGGAGCCATTGATGATTAATAAAGTTGATATGTTACCTCCTTATCCATGGATAATGAACTTTGTCTAAGAATTATGACATTACTTATCTTTTCCTTGATTTTACATTTCATTCAGTGTTCTCATATGCAAACCCATGTGGAAATATCAAGGGTGACAAAAGCCATCTCTTACCCATAAAATAATAGGGATTTCATTTCTGAGCAAGAAATTCTAAGAGTTTAACAATGCAATATGATAGAACTCTGTTTCAGTCCATAAATTTCTTGATAATGATTTCTATGATGATCGGCAGAGTATAAGAATGTTCCTTAGTTGTATTCTGCTCAATGCATCAGGATTCAGGAGTTTGTGAAATACACAATATGCTGCCTCATCTATAACTGCATTATGATACTTGCCAGTTGCCTGTTGTCTGTTGCAAATTCGAGCTGCAACTCTGTTTTCATTGAAATGCTGTAATACTAGTTTCAAATTTTAAAACATAGGGAAACAAAAGAAGTGCTGGATTTACAATTGAAGAAAGGCAATCTTTTGGCACAAACTTCTTATCCAAAGGGTTCGTGGACACCTTTAGAAAGCAGCATCCAGGTGTTGTTGGCTATACTTACTGGGGTTATAGGCATGGTGCGCGCAAAACAAACAAAGGTGTGACATCCTACATTCTAAACTTACCCTCTTATTGTTTTTATCCTTCTTCATTTGTAAGATAAATTTTGTGCCAAATTTTGTATTCTAAAGTGTGAGATCAATTCAAGTTTCCATTACTGGAAGATACTTCCTGAAACTCAAAATGATTAATGAGTATTTATATATCTATTTTGTATGCTTGAATGTTTGAATGTTGTTTTGAAGTTGTATCTAGATATTAGAAAGATTTTTTTGGGGGCTTAATGTAACTGTCACTGGTGATTAGCCTCCATCATAAATAAATATTTGCTATATTTGTTTTGGTCTTGCCCTCATATTTAGTTAAAATTTTGTTTTTGGAAAAAGGTTGGAGGCTTGACTACTTCCTAGTCTCAGAAGCTATAGCTGATGATGTTCATGATTCATACATTCTCCCTGATGTTATGGGTAGTGATCACTGCCCTATTGGCCTTACACTGAAGGTCTAGTCTGCCCCACCAACACTGGTCAATTGGCTGTATGCTGATGGGATAAGTGCAACATTATTCTCAACCAAAACCCAACTTGAAAGAAGCTTGAGATTGGTGCTAGTTAAAAAAATGGAATGTCATTGATACAATAGCTGGCTGCTGCACTCCTGACTCTGCAGAAATTGATTATATCTTATGCTGTTAGTATTGTTTTGTTTTTTGTGGAAAGGAGATCTGCACAGAGGTTGGAGTGCAGAAAATCGGAAGAGGGTGGAAAGTGGAAAGCCAAAAGCCATTGGAACTTGATAAGATTTTGTTAAAATGTATGGGTTTGCAGAGTTGGTACAATCTTGTTTTTCGCTGTCCACTTTCATTTATATGAACATCTTTGTATGTAGTAATATGTATGCTAATGGAAATTATATTTCCCTGCCTCTGCCCTGAAAGTCTTGTTGCAATTGTTGTCGCTGTCAGTGATTGTCTCCTTGATTTGTTGTTGATGATTTTGCATGTCATTGAAGGGTATAATCAATTACACTTCAGTTGCACTCAAATTTGGCAATTTCTCATCATTCCTTGTTAAGGCATATGCTTTTAGGAGAATATGGAATTTTTTCAATCTAATGACTATGCTACAACGACCTTCCCTTTTCTTTTTGACATTTTCATTGAATCGAAACACCTTTTATGCTTTGATTTACTCATCCTTTTGTACCACGTGTAATCTAAAATAGATCAAGACTTCACAAGCTATACCTGACTTTTTAGATTTTGACACGGTTCGAGAGATTTAAATAAATAAATAAATATTTATTTATCTTTATTTTAAAATTTTAATAACTAATATAAAAATATTTTAACAATAAAATAGAATATGACATAACTCAATTTGTATAGATATTTTTATTTTTCATTGAATTAAAAAAAAAATCATCTAATTCATATTAATTGAGAAAAAAAAATCAAAAAGACAAATCTTAAAACAATTCAAACTAAAAAAAACTCAAATTCAAAACAAACTTGTTTAAAGAGTCTTAAGTACAGGCCTGCAGCAACCAAATTCGGAATCATTTCAATGTCAAACTAGTAAAACTCTAATTTTTAATCTAAAAAGAGTAACTAATCTAAAATTGATCAAACCCAAAACAGACCAAACCAAAAATTGCTAAACCCAAAATTTTAAATTGAAAATAATTGAAATCCGAAACAATTTGGACCCAAATCTCTTAAATAACCCAAGCACAAAGATATACCAATCTATACTTACCCAAGCACCATCTCAGTCCTTTACTCCAATATAGCTTACGTGGAAAATGCGTGACACCTTGGCCTGCAGTACACTATCGTGGCAAGATCTCGTTGGTTCAGTGACGCCAAAAGTGAAATTAACTGATTCATTCAAGACGACCGAGTCCAACTTTCCATGTAACATAGAAGTAGAGTAGATTCAGTGAAAATTCAAAGAGAACAATTTTGAGAGAAATTAAAAAAAAAAAAAAATTGCAGAGAAACAGAGCGGCGGCCATGGCAGCTCGCAAGAGAACTTCAGCAACCACAGCAGCAGGAACAGACACAAAGCCAAGTCCTCCTCAAACCCAAGAAACAAACACCCAAATCGACCCACCAATCTCTCCGCCAAAGAAAGGCATAATCCTTAAGTTCTGTATTTTCTTTTCAATTCCATACTTTTACCTTCTTTACCAACACTATAAGATTGAGGAAGACCTCAAGAGATCCATCCTTGTCAATGCTGCCCTTAGCGTTGCCGGCTTCTTCGTTACTCTGAGAATGATTCCTGTTGCGTCTAGATATGTTCTGAAACGTGGTTTATTTGGATTTGATATCAACAAGAAGGGAACCCATGAAGGCACTGTTAAAGTGTAAGTTTAAACCCTTTTGTTTTTTCTTATAAGAAAAAAATTTTGGTTTTTGATTGCTTTCGAAATACGATAAACAGGGTATGTTTTAATTTGCAATTTTGATTTGACTAACTAAATTGAGTTTGGATTTTTATTCAAATTCATAAAATGGGTATCTAGCAAAATCTTTTTTTTTTTTTAATTTTACATTGTTTAATAAATGTCTCTACTTTATTATTTTACTTTCAATTCAATGAAGTCATGAATTGTCTATAAGTTAGATCTAGAACCTTTTTAAATACTATTTTAATACTATCTATTTCTTTTTTTTTTAATTTATGTTGGTAATTCCTGTAGAGTAGATGCTGATACTATTTGCCATCATGCTTTCAAATTCATATGCTTAAGTTTGAATTTTGTCCATTCATGACATTTATAAAATGAAACAATAGCACTCTACTTAGTGAAGGCAGCTTTGGATTTTGCAGGCCTGAGTCATTGGGAATTGTTGTAGGCATTGTTTTCTTGGTCTTGGCTATCTTGTTCCAGTATTTTAACTTCACAGCAGATTCAAATGTAAGTTTGATGTGTCCAAGAAGTTTCTATCATTTTTTTTTTATTGCTTATTCCTTTCTTTTTGAATTTGACATTGTGTAGTTGTATGTTACGGTATAGTATTTATGAAAATATTCAAACACTAGGGATGGTTGATACCATTTTTGAGGAAGTGAGTGTATGGTTTAACATATAATTATTGGTGCATTTTAGGTATTAATGTTGGAACTTGTATGAAAGTGAAATTAGTGGGATTGTAAAGGGCAAGGTGGTGAGAGAAGGAAAAACAAGCAAAAAACAGGAAATTGGGAATTTTTATTGGAATGCATAATGAGGGCAAAATGGTTATAGCAACCATAAAAATGGAGTAAAAAAAAAAATTCAAGCTTTATTCCCTTTCACCAACTGAAATAGTAGTACTCTTTGTTCGCATTCTTACTCTTATTTCCGTTTGTATTCCTGCCATATTGCTTTGGTTAAACCAAACATAACATTAGCAAAAGCATACAATAGAATATCTAGAGAATGCTTCTGGTAGGTGTTGAAGAAAAAAGGAGTACCATATAGATTTATCAATGCTAGATGTGATTCAAGTAGAAAGAACAAAAGGAGTTAGACGTAAACCATATGACATAGTTGAATTCATTCTAGAAAAAGATATAGCTTCTTTAAATCTTTCATCAATTGTTAAAGCCCTTAATTGAGTGGAATGGAGGAAATTTCATGTAGATGACCTCAACTAGTTTGGGGTTAAGGCTTAGTTAAGTTGAGTATAGTATTGGGAACATTGAACTTGGAGATGACTCCACTTTCCTGCATTGACTTCTAAGAAACTTTTTATGACATTTTCTACTGCTATTGTTTATTCAGTGGCTTGTTGAGTACAATGCAGCCTTAGCATCTATCTGCTTCATGATTTTACTTGGATTCGTAGATGATGTCCTGGATGTCCCTTGGAGAGTGTGAGTATATGTTTACCCTATGAAAGCTTATTAATTATTTGGAAGGATGTCTATGGCTTCTGAACTAATGTTTAACCAGATCATATTTTCTTTTTATGAAGAGCAGGAAACTAATACTGCCGTCAATTGCTGCTCTTCCATTGTTGATGGCCTATGCTGGGAACACAACTATCATCATTCCCAAGCCTCTTGTTTCATATGTTGGGCAAGAGGTGTTGGATCTAGGTATGGAACAGTACTGAGAATTAATTTGGCAGTGAGAATAAGAACCTTTTGTGATATTATGATGGTGTTTGTTCTGATTTTCTCATTTTCTTGAGATAGGATGCTTTCTTTCTTTTAGTAGTCTAACTCTAGTGAAAGCCTATAGCCTTAAAATTCTGGCTATTGGGCATGTTGGGTCATCCTTGGTTCAGGTCATTTAGGGTTTTGACTTTTTTGGGTTATTTCGAATTGAGGTTCAAGTCATTGAACTTTGGTGTTAATCAGGCTGGTCGAGTTGGGTTCTGACCGAATAGAGTGGTCTTTGGGTTAGGGTCAGCTTCAAACAACATTTTACTCTATAAGTAGCAAGTAAAGTAGGTTTTGCTTGAGGTAATATTCAGGTGCAGGTTTTCGGTTTTTATCATTGACCTTTTCAATAAATATGGTTGGCTTGGGTTTCACATCTGATGGGTAGTTTTTTGGGATTGAATCAGCTTTTGTCACCTCTACTCAAAGTAAATGCATACATATATTTTGCATTAACCTTTTCAATAAATTTGGTTGGTTTGGGTTTCACATCTGACGGGTAGTTTTTTGGGGTTGAATCAGCTTTTGTCACCTCTACTCAAAGTAAATGCATACATATAGGGCTTTTACCATATGAAAATAACACGGGAGAATTATTGTTTAAAACAAAGTTTGGTAAACTTGTGAAAGTGAACTGCAAATGGGGGTATGATGAAGTTTAAAGTTGTCTCTTTAGTGGAGATATAGTATGAATTAGCCATTAGAAAGTACTCACAGTGTAATGAAAACATGGCATCAAAATGTTGTATCAAGTATGAAACCTGTCATTCAGTTAACACTAAACATACTTGTGTTACGTGCTACATGTCCTGAGCTTTAGCAATTGACTGCCCATATAATTGCAATAATCAAAATGATTATCCTCCAGAGGTGGAAATATTTGCCCCTTTGGTTGATGAACATAATTGAACTCAGCAAGCAGCATTTCTTTTTTCATCTGAGTCAAATATTTTACTTGGTCACTTGGTAGAACCCAGCCTTTATAGATTAAAGAGGACACTGCCAATATTTTTCAGGTCTTCCTTGATGCACTCTTTAGCACTTATTTTTTACAGCATAAAAGTAAAGCTGGACAACCATCGAGTTCTGAAGTACATTATTCTGTTCTCTTTAATGAAAAAAACACTAAGATATGCTAATTGAACCTTTAGCCTAGGATAATATATTATGGATGGAAGAAGCTCGGTGTCGACCTAGGGTTTAATTATGAATGTAGTCTAATTGAGTCATGCATAGCAATCAATCGGCATGGATTGTTTTCAATGATGAACTGAATCAGGAAATGGAGTCTGTTATTAGATAAAGTTTTCAGTATCATACATACGAGCATACACCCTTTTTTATCTTTATGTTCAGACAAATATGTCTTTGAAGCAAGGACATTCCAGATTTCCTACCTTATTAATGTTATATCTATATGCTGATACATGCTGAAGGATATGTAAGGATACAAAGGAATGTGTTGAGATATGTCTTGGATATAGTTGGAGATAACATATAATCTTTTATGTGGGAAAAAAACTGAGGGCCAAATATTACTATAACTTATGAAGAGTTTGGGACTTCAATTTGAGTGTAAAAGTTACCTTTTATCTTTGTCATTTATGTTTTCTCTCCCCTCTTAGTTTACCTTTTTATAATTTATCCTTTTTTTAATTGCTAAAATTTTTTTGGTCAACTTTTCAATTTTCATTAACTTTTTCAAAAGAAATATTGAAATTGTTTTTTCAAATAGATCAACAAGTGGTCTAGCTTTTTATCCTTGCAATTAACTCACAGTTAGTTTTGTCGTGGCAGGATGGGTGTACAAATTGTATATGGGACTTTTGGCAGTTTTCTGCACAAATTCCATTAACATTCACGCTGGTTTGAATGGCCTTGAAGTTGGGCAAACAGTTGTCATTGCATCGGCTGTAAGTATAAACACTAATATGATATTTAAAAGTCTGGCCTTTTTATGCACTCTAACTTTTTTTTGCAATTCACAGATTTTGATACATAATTTAATGCAAATAGGAGCATCTTCAGATCCTGAGTATAAACAAGCTCATGCTTTCTCTATTTATCTTGTACAACCCTTACTGGCCACTTCCTTGGCTTTACTTTCTTACAACTGGTAATAATCCTGCTTTTTACCATCAGCTGTTTATAAATGTTACTTCTTGGCTAATAAAGTCTTATTAATAGCTTTTTGCTTCTCTTGTTTGTAGGTATCCTTCTTCAGTTTTTGTTGGGGATACATACACATACTTTGCTGGAATGACCATGGCTGTAGTTGGGATTCTTGGACATTATAGGTGTGTGTTCCTCACACTCTGTTTTGTTTGCTAGGTTTTTGGTTACATAATGCAGTAACTGTATGCATACATACATAGATGCATATGCATATTTGTACACATGAATTTATGCATGTATACACACTTTTACCCAAATGTCACAGCATCAAACAGAGTGCCTTCTGACTAAACATTTGGGAGTTAACATGGCTTAGTTTTATAATAAAAAGGGGTAATATGGTCAAGGAAGAGATCCTGGCAAGCCAACTCAAATGCCATGTTTTAATAAATATGCACTATTGCTGCTACCAATGGCATGTTTGATTCTAGAATATATATCCTCGTTAAACCAAAATTTATGATTTGACCACTATCCTTTCTTTTTCTTGGTGAATAAACTGGGTTTTCAATGCATTTTCATGGATTAGAAGCAGGCACATCTAAGCGTCCTACTCCGATCTGCTATTTTGGTGGACATATGTGGCTTAATATCCATGTTTTTTTCTGGACAAACTAACTATTTATGCTTACCATTAGCAAGCTTTAATGTAGAGTGCTATGCTTATAAATATTAATTGAACTTCTTTCTGTTTTTCCTCTTTAAAATTTCTTGTTACAGTGAAACACTCTTGATTTTCTTTCTTCCTCAAGTGTTAAACTTTCTCTTGTCACTTCCTCAGGTTTGATCTACTCTCTCTCTCTCTCTCTCTCTCTCTCTCTCTCTCTTTAGAACTCTATTAAATAATATGCAAAACATCTAATTTGCATTTACATAATTTTTTGTAAGCTTTCTGGCTATGTCAAATGTCCCCGACATCGTCTTCCAAGGTAACTCTGTGTACCCATATCAGACTTAGCTTGCGTCAAAGTTTTTTTATGTCTTTTATTATTAATATCTTTTGTATCTTTAGGTTCAATCCTGAGACTGGACTACTTACTGGGACACGTGATGGGACACTCGTTAACTTTTACTTGAGAATATTTGGGCCGAAATCAGAAAAGTTGCTCTGTATCCACCTTCTTCTTGTTCAGGTAATTCATATTTGCCTTCATTCTTCACTTAACCAACATTTTGTTTCTATAATCTCCAAGTAACGGAACCAACATTTTGTTTCTGTAATCTCCAAGTACCAGAGTCAGGTTGTATTGAACAGCTTATAGCAGACATTTTGACTGTACCATCTTACATAGGCTAGATGCGGAAAGATATGACAGAATTCTAACCAACCAAATAAATTTGGTTTTTGGTTTCCAATCCTGACTAGGAGCTTGTTATTTTCGAGTTGCTTTCTGTTGATTGACCAATTTAAACACAAATATAGTTCATAACTTATAGTTTGTGATAATTAGTTCTAATTTCACTGTCAAATTGAATGATCTCCGAGTACCATGCATCATCCATTTGTTAACTTCTGTCTCACATTGGTGTATGTTTGCCTTTTTCAACAGGCCCTAGGATGTTGTTTCTGTTTTATGCTGAGATACTTCCTTGCTGGTTGGTACAAATAAGGTAGCAACATCAAAGAAAATGCAAAATGCTTTTGCTATACGGTTTTGTGTTGTAGAATAATTTAACACAGGAACACGAGTACATTTTTAGCTGTGACATCATTGGTATAAATGCTGACTTAGTATTACTCGCATGGAATTATGAAAAATACGGTTGTAACTATTTGGAATTTGGTCATATAAGTTTTCCCTAATTTATTATATAAGGTAAAAATATGTTTTTGAGTCTTTAACTCAGTTGAATGTTTCAAGGAAAAAAAAATGGAGGGTGTTCAAGTAAATTAAACGTGAGTTACCGTTTAAAGCTCTTTGGTCTTCGTCAGTCCTTGCAGGAATTAGACAAGTGGAAAGGAACCGACTTTGCGTCAGTATTTATATATTAATTTACTTTGGGGTTTTGATAATTTATCACTTTTGCAAGAAGAAAATTGATAACAAAAGCTTGCAACAACGGTGGTGAGTTTAGCTTCTAAGCTTTTAATGCCTAAAGGGTTTCCTTTTCGACCCACCAAATAAGGGATTCTTGTTTTCTACTTTCAACCGGCAATCCATAAAAAAAACTAGAAAAGCTGCCTGTTGATATTGTGGAAGAACGTGATACTTATGGTGAAAACAAAGAACCTCGGAAGATTTTAATAAAATGAAAATCAAACATTTTTGGTTTTTAACCAGGTTGATCAAGAAGGATAAGAGAGGTTTGAAAGGGCTGCTGGCTGTGGTTATTGGCAATTTGAAACTGACCAGGACTTCTAGAGTTCAGCCTCTTGCGTCTCACAAAGAATGTTTTCAGCAAGGAAACAAGCTTATGCCATGCTAATTATGGAATCTTGGTCATGCACGAATTTTCTTCTACAAAGTTCAAAGATTATGTTGTGGGTTAAGAATCAGACACGCTTGAAAATTTGAAGCCCAAAAGTAAAGTCATATAGATCGATGATAATGACGATGGCTGTTGCGGGCCAATTATTTGCAGTTGGATTGTGGACTTCTAAATCAGGGTTAAGGTTTGAATACCATCAGATTCGGATGAATGAAGCAGATATTCATAAGACAGCCTTCTAAACACATAAAGGGCATTATGAGTTTCTAGTTATGCCATTTGGTTTCACTAATGTACTTTCCACCTTTTAAAGCCTCATGAATTGTATTTTTAAGGCATATTTGAAAAATTTTGTTTTAGTATTTTTTGATGACATCCTCTTTTATTCTACTGATTTGAGTAGTCATGTGATATATTTGAAGAAGGTTTTTGAGATTTCAAAATCAAACAAGTTGTTTCTCAAACGCAGCAAATGTGAGTTTGGGGCTACTGAAGTGGAATGCTTAGGCCATATGATTTCTGAAAAAAGAGTAAAGATGGACAAGCAGAAAGTTTCAAAAACATCGGATTGGCCACCACCTAAGTCTCCTAAGGAATAGAGGATTCTTGGGTCTTACAGGTTATAATAGGGCTTTTGAAGTTTGAAGATGGCCATTACCATTGCCTCAATACAGTGTCATGAAATCATTACTCTCTTTTAACAAAATTAAGATCGCTAGTCGTCCAATGCCAATACTTATAGACCCAAAAACCTTTTTTTTTCTATCCAATATGGGATCAATACGCCTTACTTATTTTTTTGAACGCTTGATATGATAGTCTCCCCAACTCTGTCTCACGACGCTCTTATCACTGCTATCACCCTGCCTGCTCCTCTTTGGAATGCTTGACGTAGTTAGACTTTACTACCATGCTTTACCTCAACACCTTATTAAGTAACCAGACTGGCCCACTCTGTTTACTCCCACTTGGTCATTGGACGTGAAATTGGATTGAATCAAGGGTTGACTCTAATATCATTTATTACGTAGCCATTACTTTCTCTCTGTGCAAAACCGGTTTTATTAAAAAGTATGGTGCCAACGTTTATCTGCCTAAGGAACCTCAATTTCCTATATGATGAGTAATTCATGCACCCTATCTACCACTTTTTGATCGCTTGACGTGTCATTAGCTCTCCCTTATTCTAATAAAATTATTTTTTTTTAAGAAAAAAATTCAAGATAAATAAGTTATTCAATTCTTTCGATCATGATAAAATATGTCATACTTAATAATCTAAGACAAATGGTTACAAATCGTGCATGCATTTAAAATAACCCCAATAAATGATCACCAATAAAATTCAAAATCAAGACCTCTACATCGAAAAAGACGAACCTAACCGATTGAATCAACATTGTTGGTGATTCTAATAAAACTTTTTTGGTTGAAACAGATGCATCCAGATCCGATGTGGGAGCTGTGCTACTCAACAAGGGCAGCCTATTGCATACTTCAACAAAAACATTGTCCTTAAGACGTCAAGCTCTTTCTATCTACGAGAAAAAAAAATGTTAGCTGCTTGGGAAGTGGAATGTTTACCTTGTAGGGAGACATTTTATAATTAAGATTGATCATCGAAGTTTCAAATTCCTTTTTACCAACCAAGCTACTACTCTTGCGCAACAGCTTTAGATTACAAAAATGATGGGTTATGACTGAAGTTTTGTACAGAAAGGAGTACTTAACACCATAGCCGATGCACTGTCGAAGAAACCTAATTTGCATTCTGGTCAACTCATGTCAGTGACCACCACGAATACAGATTTAATGCAAAAAAATTCAAGACTCTTGGCAGGAGGATTTGAAGTTACAAAAATTGATAACTGAGTTGCAACTTAATTCCTCTTCCAATTCTAAGTATGTGTGATATAAGGGTCAGCTGAGAAGGTAAGGGAAGTTGATGGTAGGGTTGGTGCCATCTTTAAGGAAAGAGCTTCTTGAATATTTTCATGCTAGCCCAACTAGAGTTCATTTAGGAATTAGTGCCACTACGAGCAGGGTTGCAGGAGTATTATATTAGAAGGGCCTCAAAAAAATTTAAGGAAGATGATAAAAGAATGCACTGTTTGTCAGCAACGCAAAATTGACAATTCAGTTTCACCTGCATTGCTGCAGCCACTCCCTATCCCTGACAGAGTCTGGCAAAATATCTCCATGGATTTCATTGAAGGGTTACCAAGGTCCTATGGCAAGGATGCTATACTGGTGGTTGTTGATAGATTGAGTAAATACGCTCATTTTGTGGCTATTTCTCATCCCTTCACAACATTAACAGTTGCACTGCTGTTTATGGATGGATCATATGTAAGTTACGTGGCATGTCAAATTCTATCGTGTCAGACAGAGATAAAATTTTCAATAGTAACTTCTGGAAAGAGCTATTTAAAAGGCATGGAACTTCCTTTAACATGTCCACCACCTACCATCCTCAAACCGATGGACAGACAAAGGTGGTCAGTCGATGTTTAGAGACTTATCTCAGGTAGACGATGGTGAGACGCCAAAGGAATGGAGCAAATGGCTGTCGTTGGCCGAATGGTGGTATAATACTAACCACCAATCAGCTATTAACACAACCCCTTATGAGGTGTTGTATGGCCAACTTCCCCATTACATCTTCCTTACCTGGCAAGAGATTCAGTGGTGGAGACTATTGTCAGGAGTTTACAAACCAAGGAAGCTAAAATCAAGGTTATAAAATTTTATTTAACTAGAGCTCAAGCACGTATGAAAAATTTGGCTGACAAAAGGCGAATTGACAGAAAGTTCAATGCAAGAGACTTGGTTTATGTTAAACTGCAGCCTTATAGACAGCAGTCTGTGAAGAACAGGAGTAGTAACAAATTAGCTGTCAAATATTTTGGACCCTATCACGTCATAAAAGGGTAGGGCAAGTAGCTTACAAGTTGCAGCTGCCCAAGGACTCTAAAATGCATCCCACATTTCATGTTCCTCAGCTGAAGAAACATGTTGGTAGCTCGGTAGTGGCCTCTCAATTACCTATTGTGGTTGATTATGGGACATTAGTCAAAGAACCAGCTCAGATCTTGGACAGAAGGGTGGTTAAAAAGGGAAACATGGCTATTACTCAAGTATTGGTACAATGGACTAACTCTTTTTCAGAAGATGCTACTTGGGAAACTCTGTTTGAATTGAAAAAGAAGTATCTATCTTTTGATCCTTGAGAACAAGTATCTTCTCTACGAGGAGTGCTGTTACGTGCCAATTATTTGCATTTAGATTGTGGACTTGTGTTTTAGACCTGTTATTATAAAGGCTTTCTTACTTTTGTTATGTTTAAATTTTTAGTAATTATTTTCTATTATAAGACCATTGGAGTTTGAGGTAAGAGAGAGAAGTAGCGTCAATCGAGAATATCGGTTTGTTACAGACAGCGGTGCTAAAAAGAGGGGTGAAGAATTTGTGATTCATTCTCTTTATCTAATACAATTATAATATTCTTTTCTCTCAATTTTCGTTCTCTTTCTTCTTTTCTGCTTCTTCTTCCTTCTCTGTTGTTCTCTAAAATTCTGTAGAATTTCAATTGCTGTTCATCAATGGGATGTTGGTTCAAGTTCCAAGCAAGAAAGCTTGTGTTTAAAATCAAAATCAGGTTTGCCTGCTAACCATGATTGAAATGTATTGTGGGGAAACAAATTTGAGTCTTCATAATCAAGAAAACCAAAGATCCCTACATACTAAATGTGACTACTGATGGAAATGTTTCGAATCGTGACTATATTGATGACGGGAAAGAAGAACAGGGTCAAAAGAAACGGCATAAACTTGATGGCATAATTGGTGTGGATTTTCATACTGAGATGAATGCTTATTGGTAAAACTAATCCTTAAAATAAAAATTAAATATGGGAATTAGCCTTGATTCAAGAGAATTTTGGGCAAACAAGTTTAGAGTCTGTTTAACCAAGAAAATCAGGATACAAACAAACTAAATGCGGCTACCGGTGGAAGTATTGAGGATTTGGGCTCTTTATGTGGCAGCATAGAATATCAGGATCAGACACAACAGAATAGCCATGGCGGCAGTTTTGATGACGATATTTACAGTGAGCTACCTGATATTGAGAATCTGGAGGTGGAGAATCTGTCAGAAGAATTGCTACGATACAACACTGTATCCTACTCTTACAATGACTGATTTGGAATCTAATCAGGTGCCCAATTTTGGACAAGAGACGAATGGTTTGCAGTGTGAAATTGGGCATAATTTTGAGACATTAATGTAAGGATTTGATGTACCAGGTGATTCAAGCAGACTGCTATCCTCTTCCAGGGTGTAATTGCACGGTTTCATGGACCGTGGGTCTTTAAATTTCATTTGTAGACAACTTCCAGTTAACATCAAAGTTAATAAATTTGCAGCTTCCTACGTTAGGCTTTTCAGCAGCAGAAATGGGCTAGAAAAGCATCAAAGATGGCAATCAATCCTGAAATCCAACTGATCAACCAAAGCGGTATTTCCTTCAAACAGAGATCAATTTCGTATGAGAGCGAGTGGCAAAAGCGGTACGTCGATATAAACAGAATAAAAACATAAAAATTTGCGCGAACCATGATGGAGCAATGCAAACAACCTTTTTTATCATAAACTCCCAGACAGGCATGCACCTCCTATAGATTTCAGTACATTTGAAGCCCTTTGGGCTTCAGCATAAAGGCTACAGAATACCGATGAAAGGTATGCAATCCAATTAGTCACAATAATCACGATAATGCATCGAAAGTTCAAGTAACAACCCATTCTCAGGACTGCAAATAATATTCAAAACTTTTAACAAGCCTTCCAAAGAAGCAAACTACAAAACTGTGATATAAACCGAACATAACAGGGGGCTTTGCCAAGCTGTTGTGATCCTTTTTTATGCTATCCGTTCCAACACGGAAAAACAAATAAAATAAATATTAAGACCTAGAATCTACAGCATTATATACCATATGCTTAAATTTCATACTTACAAAACTTCCCCCACCCTATACCATGGAGACTCCTGCTTCGCCAAATTCATTATGGTTAATTGGCCCAACCACAATAATTCAAAGTGTTCCACGGTGTTGAACCCACAGGTGGTTGTTCATACACTAAATCTGTCCTCTGCCTCCCTTTTACATTCCTCCATCCCCGATTATGCTGACGGTTTTCACCATGGAATCTTGAGGTTTTAAACCTTGACATGTACGGACCAGCACCTTCTCTCTTTGTTCTAGTAACATCCCAAGCTCCCCAATCTCCACCACTTCTATAATCCACATAGCTGGATTCATTATTGTCCCACTCATTATAGTTATTCTCCCTTCGATTCCATTCCCAAGAATTATTCCAACAATTCCCATATTTAGTATCTTTCATGTTGCCATTATTGGCAGCACAATTGTGCTCCCAAGAATTTTCATAATCTTTGGTTTTCCAATTCGAAGATATGTTATTCTCCTTTGCTACACCTTCTTCAGCATCCCCCCAACCCCCACAAGAAAATGACTGATTTAAAAGAAAAGAACTACCAAGAATCACAACATTCTCGCTTTTATCCTTCTCATCAGGGGCCTTGGGCTCTCTCTCCAAGTCCAGAAGAAGCTCAGGATCAATTTCAGAGTCCCAATCTATCTTATCAATGTAAATATCAGGATTTGGGAGTCTTATGTCACAAGGAAGGCCATTAATCTCAGCCCAGAATCGGTTCTTAGCATTATGGAATGCCTCTTCACCAGCAGAGTCATTCCAGTGGACTACATTGTCATAAAGAAACATAAATCTCTTGGTCTCAAGAAGCTTGCACCACGGAACAGAGCCTACCAAAGTGCAAAACTTCTTCTCCCATGAAGGCACGGTTGGCTGCCAAGTAGCTGAGATACAGGATTAAGAAATGTCAGGATAATCATTCATGCAGGAGTTACTATTGCAGTAAAATCAGACGAATAATGATAAGCATATTTGTTCTCAATGAAACACAATTCCATAATTTACAGAAACCGAAATGCACACAAAAAACTAGATATAAAAGATATCCTGAAACTCTACTCTAATTGCGAATACAGCTGATCCCATAAGCTATTTATGGAAAGACCTAGAAAACTATAACTAAAAAAATTTGCAAGCAAAAGCTGAGCAAATTTGGACTCAATGCCGTGGGTGCACTAGTTAGAAGAAATATCCATGCATTATGTTGGGTCCTGCTGGAATAATTACACATACTCTTTCTGGCAATGCATTGCTCATTTGGAACAATCCTCATGATCTCAAAATAACAATATCAATGTCAGAGTGGGTTTCCATATCACGTCTTACATTTGTCACTCAACTGAAGTGCAACAAAAAGTTCCTTAGCACCCATGCAAAAGGCATTTCTTTTTCCTTTTCTAATAAAGGAACATTATAACAGTTTAAAAAGAGATCCAGGGGTCTCTATAAGACTATGACCCAGAGCAATAGGCTGGGGACTTAATTTATCAAAATACACACACACATTTTCAAACTTACTAAACCATAAATATCAGCAATAGATAACAAAATATTCCTTCAATTGCTCTTCAATTCAACCCCTCCAACCCTCCAAAAAAATTCCTTGAAAACAAATTTACTTACAGAACACATCCAACTCTGAATTTGATTAAATAAATTAAATTTTCTCTTTACATACTCACCCCAACCCCCACACCCTTATCCCAAAAAAATATTTAAAAAAAAAGCTCCAAAACTAAAATTGAAAACCAACAACCAGGAAAAATATTACTATTATATTACACAAACAGTTATAACACATGAAAACTAACAGAAACATCTAAAAAAGCTTTAACAGCTCTGCTCTAACTTAAACAACAGAAAATGATTGATTTGCATCAAGGCTTCAAGACCAAAGCTCATAAAAATATACCCCATTAATGAAAATTCCACAATATAAACGCACAACAGGAGGCGGTCACGTGAAGACACGCCATTTTTTAAAGAAAATTAAAGAATAAAAAAATAACATCTTATAACAAATTTAAGAGAAAGACAAAAGGAAAATAGAAAGTACCAAGTGGTGGCTTTCTGCTGTGTGATCTTGTGCCTTGCATGTTTTGATGATGAATTTCACCTTTTTGTCTCCTCCAGTTATTATTCATAACCACAAACAATTCCCCAGAAAAAAAAAAAAAAAGATTAAAAGCACCCAAAAAAATTAACAACTTGAAAAACAAGAAATAAACAGTGGCAAAAGAACGACTTCTTCAACACCCCAAACCCAAAAAAAATTTCAAACAAAAAACCAAAAAGAGCTGAAAAGAAAATTCTGGGTTATGTGGAATTTGTGTCAGAATTATGATCTGAAACTTTGGTTTTTCTTTTATTGGTTATAAAGTTGCGGGAATTTGAAGGTTGCGTTCTATAGGGATAGTGATCATAACTGCGAATGTCTCTTTTTCTTTTTCTTTTATAAGGTTTGTGCGTGTTCAAAGAAACGGCTTTTAGAAGTTTTCTAGGAATCAATTTGGTCTGGCTGTTTTACGGACCTTGGTTTTTGTTGATTTTACAAAATTGGACCTTCTTAGCGCTTTGCTTCGGTGATACGGACCGAGTCATTGGCGGTGAAACTGGCCAGACTTCCACGCGTTCAAGTGGCGATTGTCGTCTAGATGCTTCTCAACTTTCGTACATAAGGACGTAATAATATGTTTAGAAAATAGATACATTTATATTGGTATAAATTTTATTTTAATTTATTTTTTATTTTGTAAATAATTTATATTTATTAATTTAAGCATAAATTTACATATTTTATATAAATTATGCGCACAAAATTTTAAATTAATTAAAAACATATAGTTTATTTTTTAACAATATAAAATCTTTAATCCCTAAATATATAGTAGAATAAAGTGTTTTAAAAATATATCATATAGAACTTCAAAATTGATGTGCATAACTTATAATAAATAGGGTTAATGAGTAATTTTCTCCCTAAATTAGACCATTTTTATTAATTTAATACCTAAAAAATAAACATTAGAAATTAAAGTTATGTTTAGTGTATAGGATGATTAATAAGATAAAATGATTATTATCTTATATCATATTTAGTTTGTATTTAAAGAAAGTGATAATACTGTAAAAAAGGTTAATTATTCTATTGACTTAAGATAATATAATCCTCCCAATAAAAAAATTATTTTTAATTCATAAAATTAAACTTATATGTCAAATTTTATTTTTAAAAATTATATTAATAATTTAAATTATATAAATTTTTAAAAAGATATTTTTAACTACTAAATAAAATTATCTTATTCTAATCATTATATACATCAAATATAAGATAAAATGATATTATTTAATATAATTATATTTATAATATTATTTTATCTTATTCTATTATAATATTATATACCCAATACACCGTGAGTACCTAAACTTGCAGCAATTTACCCACAAACTCACCTTTTTGAACTTTTATTATATAATTTTTTTATTTTAATTTTAAAATTTTTTATTTAAAAATAAAAGAAAATTTAAAAAATAAAAAACTCTCCATTGATGTGCCACTCAAATGTTACATTAGTTGGCATTCTATTGACACTTAGCGGTTTATTATTAACTATTTTAAGCCATGTAAGCATTTCGGTGAATGGAGTTATCAAATGGAGTAAATTGCTTGATAAAACACAAATTTATATACCAAATTGAAAATTTTTATTTTTTAGATATCAAATCAATAAAAATGGTATAGTTCAAGAAATAAATTATATATTAATCCTAAATGTTTTTCCTTTCTATAGACCAAAAGAATGCTTAAAACCATCAATTTTTCTTTCAGCAATTTACATTAAAAGATTTCGATTCATTTTCTCCTTTTACATTAGCTCCTCCATGTACTTCTTTTTATTAGGTTTTGATATTTATTCCAATTTTTATCTATTAACTTTAGGCTAGTTAATTAATATATTTAACGGACGATTAGTTGTAATCACTTCTTAAGAGAATTGAGATCTAGATTCCCTCATACTATGTTTTTAATATCTGTACCATAAAAAATCAATAAATCTAAAAAGATAGTTTGTTCTTTTCCTTTTCCTTTTTAATATTGAAATAAACAAAGATAAAGAATAATAAGATGAGCGGCCACAACATTAGATTTTGTCCACTTACATGAAAAATGATTTATCTAGTTTGGACACTGTCCATCCTTTTTGACATATTTTGTTCGTAAGTAACCTTTCCAAATAGGGAAAAATAGTCTATTCCATTGTTGATGATAAAAGGATTTGTGGGTTCGCCCTCATCAATCCAATATCTTTAAGGAATAAGAATAATTAAAAACACATGACATACAATGACAAAGATTGCTATATTCTCACAAATTAGGCATCCCTGAAAATTACCAAACATATCCATTAGTTTGTCCATAGTTAACTTAGCACAAGATCGCTAAACATTTAATTTAATAATTGGTGTAAATGTGTAACATTTCTTTTTCATTCATGACATTTAAATTTTATTTTTTTATTTATTATTTTTTAAAATGTCTCAAATTCATCTATTTTATCTATTATTGTTAAAGTTTAATGAAAAATGCCATATGAACATCACATGAATGTTCACATGACATAAATTTTAACTCAAAAAGTTTAATGAGTTCACATTTTTGTCATGCACCATCTACAGTGATATACACATGACTCCGAGGTTACAAATGTTGTCGGATTTAATGAAGGTTGATCATTGATGATTTTTGAAACATTTTTCATAAATAAAAAAAATTAATTTAAAAATTTATATATGAAAAATGAAATAACAATAATAATAATAAATTAAATCTTATATCTCATAATTCTATGGTTAATTATATGAAAAGTTTTAAAAAAATCATGTTAAATCGTAATTTTGATTTTTTGTGTCACTAATTTCTATAAAAATAATATTTTCATCTATTTTCTTAATTCTCATATTATTTCTTATTATTTATGTCCATGTCTTTTGTGGTCTATCTATAGAATTTTTTATTTCTCCCAAATCCAAAAATTTATTTCTCCTACCTAAGCATGAATAGATCCATATTTCATATGTGCAAACTATTTCAAACAATCATCTCTCATATTTTATTTAATTCGGACTATCCTTAAATTTTCTTAATCTCTTTATTTCTAATTTTATCTCTTTTATCCATTTAAGCATTCTTATCTTAACTCAACCTATGTGTTACCATACTGCAGGTCTCAAGCTCAAATAAAATGAGGACTAGTGTAAAACATAATCAAACCATAATATAAAAAAATATTACACAATAATCATGGATGCATGATATAATTTACTCATATATGTTTGTTTAAACAAAGTAATTTAAATCTCTCTTTTTTAAAAAAATAGCATAAAAATTAATAGAAACTTTATACAAAGATTAATTGAAATTTTGACTTTAACGCATTTTATATAAATATTTTATTTAATTTCCTATATACACTAATGTTCAACACAATTTTATGACAAAAAGTAAATAAAGATCACGAAATTTTGATAAAAATATAAAATAAAAAAATGTTTAAAAATAAGAATTAAGTACATTTAAGGATAAAAAATTGAATAAAAAAATTAGGAAGAAGTGGTAATATTTTCCTAAAATGTGTTTCTAAACATTACGTGGATGATTTTTTTTTTGTACTGCTTTATTTTTTTTTCTTTTTCATTTGTAAAGGAGAAATGTATTTTTTTTTTCAAAAATCAGTTTAACTACTCATAAAAATGGTTAGGAAATCATGATAAATTTATAGATAATCCAAATTTATTTTGTAGACAAAGAAAAATTACCCTATACCTATGATAAAATTCTTACACTCAACAATTTTAAAAAAAATTATTAACCTCAACAACTTAATCAACATGTATTAATCATAAATATTTGTTTTATTTTAATTTTAAAATTTTCATCATTAATATATAAAATAATAATAATTTTAAAAGTTTTAAAAATTTCTCATACACTAACTTTAAAATTCACCAATATTAAAGAATTGACAAATATCCTCGTGAGATATTTTATGCATATTAAATAATTAAATAATTAATACGTATCAATTCTTTAATTTTGTTTGTAAAGTTTAAAATTGTTACGTATAATAAACGAATTCTAAAAAAAAAAAAAAAAACCTTCATATTTAAGGAGGTGTGGATACGCGCATGGATAATAATTTGGGAGAGCGAGGATGGACAGAAAGAGTCGAACTCTGACACGTAATCTTTTTTTTCTTAAGAGTAGACGACACGAAGCAAGTGAGGATTAATACTACCGAGAACTAAAACAATTTGACAAGAATACCCCTATCATCTACTTAAAAAATTTTATATTACTATGACTCTCAGCTTTTGCCGTGTTGTTGACTCGTTGAAAGTAAACCATCTAGCGCGTCACCATTCCTTGGCGACCGCAAACACCTATTGCCTAGCGCAGACTCCTTTTTCATACATTTACATTTATACCCTTGCTTTTAAACGCTAAGTGTGGTACAGTTTTGCAATTTTGTTGAGCTATTGTAGTTTGTGGGTCCACTGAGTTGATTTCGCGTATTAATTCAATTGAAACGTGCTGAATTGAATTAATACTTTGCCCTCAAACATGCTTCGCCGGCCTTTTGGAATTGCTATTATTTTCTTTTTCTTTTTCTTTTTGGTTTTCATGGTGATTAATAAATATGTTTTGAACTTTCCAAAAATTGTTTATTCCCTCACTTTTCAAACTATATTTTTTTTTAATTAGGGATATCAGAATTTTAGATATTAAAAATTAAAATTTTAATATTTATCATTAAATTACATGGTTGTTGACTAAAATTATTTTTCTTAACTATCTGTATTAAAAATAAAGTTATTAATTGAGGTGATATTATGAACTAATGATATACTAATTTAATAAACAAATTAACAAAAAAAATCAATTGTAAAGTAAATATGTTTAGAAAAATAGCATGTTTTTAATTTCGTTATGGTAACCATCTCAAAGTTAAAAAATATTTATAAAAAAGAATTTTAGTATTTAAATATTAATTTCATTATTATTTTTACTTTTTCTTCATTTTAAAAGTAGAAATATGTAAAAAAAAAAGAGTAGAAATAAGACTATTCATTTTTTTCTCGTCCTTGTTTTCATATTATTGTAATTTTTTGAAAAATAAAAAATTTAATTTTTTTTCTTTTCTTTTCTTCCAATTCTTACCTCTTTATGGTCAAATATGGCTAATTATACTCAAACCAGGGTAGCTAAAACCGAATCTATCGTCTTGCGATTGAAAAAGGCCTGAAACAAGACCTAAATCAACACGAATCAAGCCAAATTTGTCATGCGTTTGAGGCGGATCCAGCCTCATTCAAGTTGATTTTGACCCCGTTTCAAGCCATTTTCAATCAATCGACGTTGCATCAAGCCTGAACTGGTCTGATCCAATTGTGATTAGTCGGATTCCATTGTGAGGAAGGAAGAACGAGGAGAGAAGAAGAAAGCGAAGA